CTCAGGGGAGTACAAGGGCCAGAGTCACCCAGCTGTGATTACAGTCCTCCCTGTGTTCTGTGCTGTGTTTTGGGTCATGAGGAGACCTTCAAGGCCCATTCCACCTCTTTATTAATGGTACCCCTTATTTCTTCTTTGCCTACCTTCTTGACCTTTCCCAATCACCCCTGCCCACCTCACCTGCAAGGGAGAGCCCACTGCAGGGCATCCTCCATCCTCTATGCACAACCTTTTCTGAGGCTGGGGCAGAGGAGGAACGTTTGAGTTTCAGAAACAGGTGGTTTGGGTCTGTGGCAGACATGAGCAGACGTGAACAGCTTGATAATCATTTGAACTCTACCGGACCTTGTCTCCTTATTCAGCCTCCAGCTGTTGGGAATCTGCCAGCTGGCCATGCTCTTCTGGGTCTTTGACCAGAAACTCCTCATGCACAGTGCCAGTCCTGAAATGGGGACTTCTGGTTAGGGTCTTATGCACCAGTATTGTTTAGGTTCCATTCAGCGATCAATTCCATTTGGTTTCTTGTTCTCTGTTTCAAAGCAAACTAGCTCACCTAAAATAAAACTCATGAAGCACCCACTGTGTGCATGATGCTTTGGCAAACTCCAAGAAAATCAGGAGCATGGCTGTTTTAACAAACTGCAGGCTTTTTACACACAAGGCCATGAGGGAGACATTCATCCACTCTTTCAGTCTCTTAATTTACTCCACAAGTATTTATCGACTGCCTGTTGCGAATAGGGCTGATGGCCCAGTGCTTGGTTTGCAGGAGCCACTTTGTAAAGACTTAGTAGATTGAATCCAGGGAATCCTAAATTCAGATGGCAGGAGATGAAAATATAAGCATGCCAGGCGGAAGGATAGGCATTTTTTTTCTCAGAGTTAAAAGCAGTAAAATCTGAGCCCTTGCTGCCTGGATCATGGGCAAGTAATGGCCTAGAAAAGGGAGCACCTTCCTGGGGTTTAGTTTCCCCATTAGAAAAAGAGTGTTTATTAGATGATGACTTTTAATTTTTTGTGGTTCCAGGGATGGAACCCAGGGCCTCGTGCTGGCGAGGGGACCTGAGGGGCTTCCCACACCCTCGCATGTCCCACCCAGAGGCCTCCCTGAGACCACCATCACTGCGTGCACACACACACACACACACACACGCACCCTAGCCAATCAAGCGTTACTTTAGTTGGAATAGACGGCTTCCTGGCTTCTCCCCACACAGTCTGTTTCTGGGCTAGGGTTTGTTTGAGGCCCTGTTTGGATATTGTTAAAAGCGGGCAGCTTGGCTCAGAAAGGTCAGTGGGAGAGACGAGAACAAAGAGATCTTTCAAGCTGGCCTCTCGCCAGGCAGCCAGTAACGGCTCAGAAAAGCCCAGGCTCCACCTGGCACAGGCACCATTAGGCCTGGGCTGGCACTGCTCAGCCTGGTAGCCATCTGGGGCACTCGAGAAACCCACCCGGTTTCTCAGTTCTCGGGGTAAACTGAGGCAGGGGTATTGTCAACACTGCAGAAGGAGGTGGCTTCGGCTCAGATTCCAAACCCCCCCTGCAACCCTGGCTGCTGGAACCTCTCAGGGATTTTTTTCTCTGAAGACATTCAATAAAAATTGGGATTTACTCACAACATGCCTGAGGGTGATGATTTGTTTCACTAAAGAATTCCTGGGAGCTTATTTAGATGAAAAAATCCCTCATAGGTTTGGAAAGAGTGACATCTAATTCTGGGTCACAGAATTGTTAAAATGCAGCACTGGCTCTTGTGTGTGTGCTAGGGGTGGCTGAAGCCCTGGGAGTCAGCATTCCTTCTGGAAGGGTGGAGAGGCTGTCTACTGGTGCAGGAGTGATGCTGATGTACAGATGAAAGCTGTGTCCACCCGGCAGTGGCAGAGAGAGACGGTCCTTGTGGTAGTGTGAGGAGAGGCCACAGTCACTTCTGTCTCCAGCCTCCTGGCAGCAGCCTGGGCTTGGCTACCAGGGAGGAGGCTGGCAGGTGGCTCACAGAGTGGAAAATCACCCAAGGTCCTGTGAGCTGCCAGCCTCCTCTGGGCTGCAGGGCCTGTGTGGCCCCAGGGGCCAGCCTACCTCCTCCTGTGGCTCTTTCCCCAGTGCCAGGGAGTGCTCCTGCAGCCTGAGTTCCCAGGGCCAACTGTTTCTTCTCGGCTCTGGGAGCTCACACAGCCCATGTCTTCTCTCTGTCCTAGTGATGGCTGGTGCAGGGCTATCCCCTCAGCTGATGGGGCTTGGCTTGTGGCCTGCTCTGGCTCTTGAGTTCTTTTCTGCAGCAGGGACTTCAGGGGGACTGAGGCGCTCTGCTACAGGCTCTGCCTCCTTTGGCTTGTGGGGGCCCCAGCCTTGTCTCTGGCTTGGTTCTTGGTCCATCTGCCAGGGAATCCTGTTCTGAAGTCCCTGTGGAGCCAAGGTTGGTAGGGACAGATGGACATGAAGTGGGGGACCCCCTGAACTTTCCTGCAAAATAACACCAATTAAATCATCAAGAATATGATCTTTAGATACAAACTCAAAGGAGGAAGGAGAATACCATTTGGCAAGCCTCTGCCACACACATGGGTGGGAGTGTGCTCTGCCCCCATCATGCTCCCGACAGAACTGTGAGAAACTGAGGAGGCTCCCTACCTGCTGGAGACCTAGACTCAGACCACTTTGTGTTCCGAAGAGATAGATTTAGGATTTGACTGCAGAGCTGGGGTTTCCCTGTCCCATTGTCCCTTGTGAAACCTGGCTTCTTAGATTAGAAGAACTAAAGGACACCGTGGATCATCTAAGCCAGTGGTTGTTAAACTTGAGTGTCCGTTGGAACCCCCTGGAGACTCAGTAAATCCCAGATTGCTGGGCTCCACCTCAGTTTCTGATTCAGCAGATCTGTATTTCCAACAAATTCCTGGGATTCTGCTGCTGCTAGTTCAAGGACTGTAATTTAAGAACTTCTGGTCTAAATCATTTTCTCAGAGTGTGAGCTCCGTACCTCTAGTGACACTCATGCCAACTTATTTATTTGGTGGTGGTGGTATTGGGGATGGGACCCAGGGCTTTGTGCATGCTAGGCAAGAACTCTCCCACTGGATCCACACCCCCTTTGTCTTTATTTTGAGATAAGTTCTTGCTATATTGCCCATGCTGGCCTCAAACTTGGAATTCTCCTGCCTCAGCCTCCTCAGTAGCTGAGATTACAAGCCTGTGCTATGTCCAGCCACAAACATTTTTTAAAATACTTTTGTATATAATATCTGTTGGCAAAAAAATAATCAGTACAACAAACCCATGATTTCTAGTGAGAAATTTACTGAAATAGAAAGAAGATGTAAATAAAAAACTATGTAAGTAATAATAATACTAGTAATCCCTACACAACTAGTGATAAAAATTGAACGGTATATGCAGACAACTGAAGTCTGGGCGACACCGAGCTAATTGGAGTCCTCATTTTGCAGAGGAAGAAACAGGCAAACCTGCTCCCCCAGGCCACATGGCCGTTAGTTCCTGGGCCTGTACTGTCTCTTGGAGCCTGAGGCTGCCTGTCCTGTGGGTGCTGCACAGCACTGGGCTGGCTAGAAAAGGTTGTGACCCTGACCCTACCCTAAGGATCTTGGTCTCCATTCTCAGCCCTGAAAACAGGGGTCTGCTTTTATAATATTGGTCATTTGCACATTTTTAGCTCTCCTGTCTGAGCCAGAGCTTCCCTAAAGGCAAAAGACTTGATCTGTGAACTAGTCCTTCTGCTGCTCCCAGGCCCCCAAGCCCTAGGAACCTGAGAGTGTTGCGGAGCACTCTCCTGCAGCTCTCCCGGTACCGCTTTGGCTGGTCACCCTGTGATCTTGCCTCTTTTCCACGTGCTGGCCTGGCAGGCTGTGCTTGCCCTCATGTGGTGCCATCCAGGGAGCACCCTGAGCAGATGAACAGGACTCTCCGCCTCAGCGGGAGCTGTGATGGGGCACATGGGATGTGAACCCTGCCCTTGGGAGGCCACAGTGTGCCTAGATCAGACCTGCAGTGGAAAATGACCCTGAGGTGTGGTAGTTGCTTCAGAAGAGGAATTAAGAAGCAGGCCTGGAGGGTCTGAAGAGCTTCCTGGAGGAAGGGATGTGGGAACTGGTTTCAAAGGATGACGGGGGACAGGCTTTTGAAGGCAGGGGAGAAGGCTATGCCAACACTTGACTCCAGGAGCTGGTCATTCGGTTCAGCACTTGCTTGAGTGGTGGAAGTGGAGATGGGGGCAAGTAAGGGGCAGGTCTACCCCAGATTCACTCAGTCCTGGGACCCCAAAGGCACTGGCCTCTGTCAGCTAGACACCTCCAGGGGCAGTGGGAGCCATTTTTCAAACTGCAGGGCACAACTCACTAGTGGGTTACAAGATAGATTTTGTGGGCTGCAGCCAGTGTTTTTCAAAAGCAGAGTAAGGGAGAAGTAAACTAAGAAGTATCAGAGTTGCCTGCACATGGTGGAAATACGTATTGTGTCAAGAAAACTTAGTTTTATGTGTAAGGAAAGCGTGTGTGAAGAACAGTGGATTCAGTGCAGGGGTAACAACCCTGAAAATTGTCAAGGGGCAGAGGGTGATGGGAGGGAGCTGGCCTGCCTGGCATGGTCACTGGGCCAGTCCGGGGGCCTGGGGAGGAGGGGACAGCTGGCAGTGAAGATGGATTCCAGCTTGGGCTAGATGCAGCAAGTGAAGCTCGGAACTGAAGCTGACTCAAGTCGAAGCCCGGTCCAGCCCAAGGTCCTCAGGCCAGGGTGGCACCTGTTTACAGGATCAGTCTTGGTGTTCTCCTGGTGGTGAGCTGGAAGCCTGAGTTGCTGGGGGTTTCTGGAGAGAAGGATCTCCTTCCTCTTTGCTTGTTGATGTCAGGGCCTTAGGGTTAACACTCAGGCCTTTCTCCTAATGATTAAAGACATACAAAGAAGTCTCCAGCACACAGGCTCTGCAGACTTGAGGGTGTCTGTGGGAGCTGAGCCAGTAATCACCCCACCTCTGCTGCCCTCCTTCCAGAAACATTGTGAAGGCCATGAGGGAGCTCCGTGAAGTTCTGCGGACTGTGGAGACCAAAGCGACGCAGAATTTCAAAGTGGTAATGTGGGTGCTGGCTGTGCCTGGTTTATTCAGGAGCCAGTTTCTGTGGGAGACAACAGAAGTCATAGCAGGCAGCTCCTGAGCCAGGGGTGGCACAGCGCCTACCCTTCCTGCTTGTGGCCGACCTTGTTAATCAACCTCAGCATTCTTCCCTGCTAAGCCTAGGATGCACCCTTGGCATCCTTCTTGCCACCCCACTGTGGGGCACACATACCCTTAGAGCAGAACTAAAATCTACCACCCGGCCAGGGGTGTGACTCAGTGATGCAGCGCTTGTCTAGCAAGCATGAGGGCCTGAGTTGGCTCCTCAGCCCCACCCCAACCCCCCATCTCTGCCATCTCTCTAACAGCAAAACTGTCTTGGCAAGGTGGTATTGTTCAATCTCAGATTTGTTTATGATCCTAATCAATATTGCTTACTCTGCTTTCTTGCCCTTACTCACACCTGGCTTCATAGGCCTTAATTCATCCAAAATCACAACCACGGCTGCTGTTCATGCTAGAATTTCCAGTCAGCTATCAGCATCTCCACCAGGCATTTTGTAAAGAAAGCTGCCTATGCCTATGGCCCTGATTGCTTTCCACCTCTGTAAGGGCCTGCAGGGCACTCAGGGATGTGGGGGCTCCCTGGGGTCAGGAGAAGGAAGGCAGCACCTCTTGTCTAGGAGAGGAGAGGCAGAAGAGATGGAGGTAGAGCCACCTAAGCCCAAGGGCAGGGTGGGGTGCCGCAGTGCAAGGACCCCTCCAGAATGACATCAAGGGACCCTCCTGGGGCAGCACACTGAAGGGAGGCTGGGTGAAGGCCATCTAGGTGTGCTCGGGGCTGAGTTCCTCCCTCTTTCAGATGGCTGCCAAGCACCTGGCGGGAGTCCTGCTGCACTCGCTGAGTGAGGAATGCTACTGGAGCCCCCTGTCCCACCCTCTGCCCGAGTTCATGAGCAAGGAGGACAGCGCCTTCGTCACGCGGGCCCTGCGCAAGCCTCACCTCTATGAAGGGGACAAGTGAGTTCCACTTGCCCTGCTGGGCCACATCAATCTCATGCTGTGTGTGGCTTCTGGCCTCTGCCCGCATTCCCTCTGGGCTGGGCAGACGCTCAGAGACTAGGGAAGGAAGGTCTCCTATGGGCCTGGGGGAGACTCCAGTAAGGCATCCAAAGGCCCAGCACGTTATTTGGTGCTCTCCTTTTCTTGTTTGTGCCTACAGTCACAGGTGGGGTCCGTGGCCAGCTGGCAGAGCCTAAGAGCCTATTTCACACTCTCTGTACCTCACCCTGCAGCATCAGACAGTGCTCCGGACAGGAAGGGATACTTCTTCCTCAGGGCCTCCTGTGGCCTTTCAGATCATAATTCTAGGGCCCGTTAAGGAGCTGCATGTGATGTCAGTGCCCATGAATTATGCAGGAGTGGGTCACCTTACCAGGCTGGTGCTGACTCAGGGCAGAAGGGCTGTGCAGTGGCCAGAGGTGCTGTTGCTGCAAGGTAGGCTGGAGCCTGGCTGCATTTCCCTTTCAGCCTCTATTGCCCAAAGGATAACATCGAGGAGGCCCTCCTGCTACTGCTCATCAGTGAGTCCATGGTAAGCCTGGGGCACCTGTGGGGTGGGGCTGGGGCTTAGGCACAGGCCCTCTGTGTCCTGGGCAAACTCTGCTTCTAGGGAGGCCCCCAGAGCTGGAACTTCTTGGCTTTTTGTGGCTGTACAGAGGGTGAGTCTGGCTCATCAGGCCTGGGTTTGGCTGCACAGGCTGCATTGGGAGGCCTGGGCTCTGCCTTCAAATGAGCAGGGACTGAGTGCATGGTCCTCCCTTCTGGGATGGCAAAAGGTGATTGTCACAAGGGATGTCTGCATCCAGCCTACCTGTATTGGGTGCTGTGCCAGGCATGAGAGAGCAGCAGGTGAAAGTGGAAGGAGCATGCGCTTTAGAAGCAGGAGGCCAGGGTTTAGGTTCCCCTCTGATCTTATTAGCTAAGGACCAGCAGCAACTCACTCAGTCTTCTTGACCCTTGGTTTCCTCCTATGAGATGACAGCCAAGTGTGGTGGTGCACGCCTGTAAGCTGAGCACCTGGGAGGCTGAGACATGAGTATCACTGTGAGCTCAAGGCCAGCCTGGGCTACCTAGTGAGACCTTGTCTCAAAACAAAACAAAGATGAAAGTAACTCAACAGAGGTAAGTGTGGATGGAATTCATGCATTCATGTAACAATTATTGATTATCTGCCTTGTGCCTGGCCCTGGTCTAGAGGCCAGAGGTAGTGCTGTCCTCATGGAGCCTACATTCTAGTGAGGGAGGTGGCACTGATTAATTAATAACAGTCCCAGTATCCAGGGCATTGTTTGTCCGTACATGTGTCCATGCATATGCACACTATGAATGCACAGAGCAGAGGTGAGGATAAGGCATGCTAGACAAAGCACACATTGAAGTTCTGTCAAGACTTTGTCACAAGACTCACTTCCCATGCCATGGGCAGGAGAGGAAGGCAAAGGCACATGTGAGAGTGCACGTATGCCCAGAATGGTCACAGTGCCAGGAGGCCATGTCCCCATGCTGGAGTGCCTGGGAGGCCCTGTTAAGGAGAGCACAACGTGGCTGGGTCCTCCAGGAAGTAGAGGGATAAAGGATGGATTGGACACCTTTGAGGAAGGTACAAGAAGGGAGTAGCAGAGACCAGAGAAGCCAAGCACAGAGATCCATCTCTAGGGCTGGGTCCAAGTCTCCTACTGAGGGGCCCGAGGATGTGGTGAGCTGGGGCACCAGGTTGAGATAGATCTTCTAAATCAGTGTGTCTGAGGAGTGGAGGTTAAGAAACCAAAATCCATGAGCTAGGTCCCCGAACAACCAGAAATGAGTGTTCCTTTGGACAGCTGGGATGGTGGCTTTGGATATGTGGTTGTCAGGGCTTGTTTAGGGAACTTTGGTGGAAACATTACCTCTGACTCCACAGGTTTCCTGGCAATTGACAGGAGAAAAAATGCTTGGCCATGGGTGGAGAGACTGTACCCCTAGCCAGACTGGTCCATTTTGGATCTAAGTGTTCCCTGTTTCAGGCCTTGGGTATTTGGTGTTGAAGTGCTGCCTGGACATGTGATGACATTGGCATCATCTTCCTGTGCTGTGGGCTACAGTGTAATTCACAGGTAGATGGCAGTTGGTGGAAGCAGCACTGTTTCTGAGGTCCCTTCTCTGCCGGGGACCAAGGTGACTGACTACCTCTCATAGGTAAGCATTATGTTGAGCCATATGAAATTACCAGTTTTTAGTTGTTTATGGCCTACAACCACTACAGGTCATATAGTTTCATTTAATATCAATCTATTCCCATCTTTTTGTTGTTATTTTTTTGAGACAGGGTCTTGCTATATAGCTCAGGCTGGCCTTGAGCTCTTGGCAATCTCCTGCCTAAGTCTCTGGAGTACTGGGATTACGGCATGCACCGCCATGCCCAGCTCAATATGTTTCCATCTTACAAATGAGAAAAGTAAGGGCCAAGACAAGTACCTGTCTTGGTCTAGGTCACGTACTGATAAGCCTTTTGGTCATGATTCTAACCACACCCATCTACCTACATGGCCTCTAAAAGCACAGGACATGGAGCCCAAGTTCCTGGATTTCAAGATACCAAGATCCTGTGGCTCACTACCTGCTCTGATCCTCAATTTTCTTATCTATAAAAGGGCCAAAGAGATGGACCAAGTGGCTATTGTTTTTCTCCTCAGTAGAGGAGAAAGGAGGCTGCACTCAGTCTCCTCGAGTCATTTTCTGTGGCCTCTGTTTGATGAAGGAGACCAGAATTCAAATGCCTTTCCCACAGGTTATCCCCACCCCCACCTCATCCCCAGTACCTCCAGTTGCCCCTAATCTCAAAGTGGAGAACAGTCTACTACAGAAATGTGGCCCACCCTTGGAGCCAGGGGAATGTTCTTGGATATGTGCCTTCCCTCTAAGTAGCTCTTCCCGTTTTGTTGTAGGGGTTGTGTCAGGCCAGCCTGCCCAGGCACCTGGGTTAGGGGTTGGGGTCCTGGGGTATCCCTGCAGCATCAGAGTAGGACTGCATAGTACCACACAGTTACCAGGAGTAGGCACCCCCAGGCATTGGCTGGCTTGCTGCTTCTTTGCCACCCACAGCCTGCCAGACATACGGAAGCCAGAGGAATTTGGGGAGGGACATTGGTAATAGACTTAGCTTTAACTTAGCCTTTTGGCTTCCAGTCTAAATTTGGCCTCTGCGACTCTCAGATTCCAGAGAAGCCAGATTCCCTCTTGTCTTTATTTTACATCTCCATCCCTTCAGTCACTCTTGATCAGCCAAAGAACTAGGATGTGGGCTTCACGGGGCCAGTTCCCCCATCCCTGCTCCTACTCTCACCTGTCCATTGAACCCCAGCACTCCACACACCCTCTGTCTGGCCATCATGTCCCTAGGAGAATTTCCTCATCTCTCTTGGATACTCTCTGGGTTTGGCCATAGACGACAGGCTTGAGAAGCCCGAACAGCAGTTGGTAGCCTCAGCCGCTGCTTGGATTCTCCTAATACCTGCAGAATTCCTTGTGCTGCAGTAAAAATGACTTCTGCAGAGCCAGAAGTCTTGGAGCTCAGAAATAGCTGTGTGAGGTCTGGGTGTGGGGCTAGTGCCTTGGATATGGTTTTTGTTACACAGTATGTGATCAGAATGAATGAGGGAGCCCTTGTCTTTTAAGAGAGAAATAAAAATTACACATGGCTCCATGGGAATGCAAAGGATATGGAAACTGATTGAAGATTTATGTTTTGGACTTAGTTTTGAGTCTTTGTGGCTAAAAGAGCATTTTATTTTATTTTTATTATTACTTTTTTTAGTACCGGGGATTGAACTCAGGACCTTGCACTTGTGAGGCAGGCAGCAGAACCACTGAGCTAAATCCCTGGCCCCTTAAAAGAGCATTTTAAAATCCATTAATCCATCCACTAGTCCATCCACTCATTCATCTCTGTATCCATCCATCCACCCACTTATCCATCTCCCCACCCACCTTCAATTCATCCATTCATCTGTCCATCCACCCTCCCACCATTCATTCACACAGTCTTGTCCCAGCAGTATACCATGCTGGTTCATGCTCACCGCAGACACCGTGATGAACAGCCTTTGTCCCCAGTATACTCCTAGTTCCCAGGGACATGGAGGAAATCCTGATCTCCAGATCAGAAGGAAGTACCCCAAACTGCAGAACCTCAAATGCAAATTCTAGATTTTGAAAGCACTATATATCAAGCCAGCCTGATTTTCTGACAATTGGGGAATGAGGAGATATAGGAATCTTTGTCATTTCCAAAATACTCACCCCAGAGCTTAAACAATATGCTAAAGCAAACTAAATCCTTGGCCCCTTATTTTCATTCAGCAGAGGAAGAAATTGCTCCTGGTGCTGGGCTCTTGGGAAGGATGCAGAGGCCTGGAGTAAAGGCAGGGAGGTGGGTGGGGGCTGGGATTTGTAGGGGCTGGAATACTGCAGGTTAACAAACTAACTCTGTGCCATACCCAGTGCTGGGCATCTGAATACTTGAATCTTATATTTGTCATTCACAACTTGTATGGCCAGGTCAACTTCCTTACCTCCCTGAGCCTTGGTTTTCCTCATCTGTAAAATGGGGCTAAGAAGGCTCTCTTGCAGGAGTTTGGGCAGATTAAGAAAATGAACACAAAGGTACTTGGTTCCATATGTTTTTTCCTCCCAAAAAATACTTGATTCTGACTCAGTAATTTTCAAAACATTTAGGTTCTGATCTGGTTGGGAGATTGAGGATACCATTCAGTTTTTTGGTTGATTTGATTTGATATTTTTTTTTCCCCATTAACTTTATTGGTACATTTTAGGTATACAATACAGTTACATTCATCGTTGGGATCTTGTACCATTACATGAGTCTCTTGGTTCTTATTTTTTTCCCCTTCCCTTGCCCTCCTTCACCCCATCCACCCTTCTGTATTTGCAAAGAATTTGTTTCCATTTTTTTCCTCTTCTCATATTTTTTCCTTTCCCTTTTTTCCCTTCCCCTACCCCTCCCAATTCCCCTGCTCTTTTAGACCTTTTCTTCCTGTTACACAATATCAGTTATACATTTTT